CAAAAAGAGAATTTTAAAATTCTTGAAAACCTAAAACACTTGTTGAGTTCCCGGTGACCTATGACCTACCTTGTTGCCGAAGTATTTGAATGCCGTCCTGGCGTACGTCTCAAAGTAGTCGACGATCTTGATGTCGTAGAAGCCCCCGAAGGCGTCTTCGAGGGTCACTGGGATGTCCACGTGCCACAACGTCACCTATGGAGAGGTGAAGATAAGAAATTTCGTATACAGAAAAAATTAAATACCCGGAAATTCCACACGGCACTCTTGTGATAACGAGAAGAGAGAGAGAGAGATGGGTGGGGGGCGGGGGGGTTGGCCTTGGCGAGGATATGTGTTGTTATATCGCAAGGTTGAGGTAGGTATGAAGATTTGGTAATCGCGGGTATCGGGGAGGGGGGAGGGGGGCGTAAAGTAAACTGCGCCCTGTCTTTCTGTGAGTGATTGTAAACTACTTCTGAAACGCGCGTCAGCGCAACGACTTATCTTGAAAACGCAATCTGCGCGATTGATCTGTAATTGTTTTCTTCAGAAAAATCTTGGACTTTAAAATCCCTAGGCGCGTGACCACGATGTGGTCGCGGTTTGCTGTGTATTCCAGTCCCTCAGGATGATAACCGCCGCTCCGAACGAGTTCAGTCGTTTGATCTGAGAGTCTGGTAAGCGAATGACGATTTTGCCGGGCGACACTCACCACGGGCTGGATGTTGGCCTCCAGGAGGGCGTCGATGAGCGCGTTGTAGTAGCGGACGCCGTCCGGGTTGACGTTGTCGCCCTCCCCGGTGGGCAGCAGGCGCGCCCAGGCGATGGAGAAGCGAAAGGCGGTCGCCTGCATGTCGCGGACGGCAGAGGAAACGAAACGTTCAATAACCACAACACATACTCCCCCAAATGCAGCACCAACACTTGCTGCGCGCGTCGAAAAGCGGGGCCGGGCTGGGACCGATGCCGGCCCTTAGTCAAACGAGAGTGAGATAAGTGAGACGCAGGTCAGCTGGGTGCGCTGCCCCTCGAGCATCACGGGCGATCACCTCCCCTGCCGGTGCGAGAGCAAGCCCAAGAAGTGTCTCACTCACCCCCATGATCTTGAGCATCTCCACGTCTTCCTTGTAGTGGTGGTACATGTCGCAGGCCACGTTGCCGCCGCCGTCCGAACGGTTGCCGTAGGTCCGATCGCAGGTGCTCACACCTTTCCCTGAAGGAAGCAACATAGACGACGGTGTAGTACTTCCATACCATATCGCGTTCCAAGATTTTCTCTCCAAGTGAGTTCTCTTCAAGGGGCTGCTTCACCATAAATTCAAGGGTACACCGATTTTTCTGATTTTTTC